TGGTCTTCTGCAACCAAGCTTGTTTAAACCGAGCTTATCACAGGATTTAGGAATTTGGTGCTGATGACAAAAGATGAGATTCTCTAATATGTCGTGAACAAACTTCGATGCCATAGTCAACACGTAGTCTGCGTCGAGGCATATGTATTTGTAGAAAATTGTGTGGTGCCACAGTCGATCAAGAAAGGTGACACCGTTGGAAGGAAGCAATCGACTAAGAGAGTGCCAGTGCACTTACAACCAAAGTGCGATGTCGTGTTGTACGGGAATCCAGTGAGTATAGTCCTTAACATGTAATAAACGTCAGTGCAATTATGTTAAGTACGCAAAGTGTAAAGGGAAAATGCTGAAGTGCATGATGGTTCTCTTTTGAGGTGCTATTTTATGCTTATCTTCACTTGAGAGGCATTGTATCCAGATTGTTTTTAGCGTAAATCGTAAAAAATCTGACGTTGCTAAAGGTCGTCGAACTGCAAGGAGATTATGACTTTATTCAGGCCTTTTGAATGATTATGACGGCGGCCTAAAGAGAACTGTATCGTATAGCACGTCTTTATTAACTGGGCTCCATTGAATGTAGTTGCCGCGACCCTTAAAAAACACTCCCTACCTTTCGTGGCGTAATTAGAAAGTTAAAGCTCCGCTATTACATTTTTTGTGCACGCCTTTAAGACGCGAGAACTGTCGTCTGTCCGCCATTCACGCTTCTGCGTTAAAATAAGTAAACACGCTTCCGTCTCCTGCTGGTCCCACTCTAATTCGTCAATCGTTTATTGTTACTTATAAAGTTTGAGTAGACGTTATTGTGCCTTCGAACGTGTTCTTCATCGTTTGGCGTTCAACAATTTGGTGATAGTGTGATCTGCAAACTCAGAAGGCCAGAATTCGCCTAGAGACCACATTTTGGCCAATATGATAAGATCCTTGCCGTATGATGCTTGAACCACACACCTGCGTTGAAATTCCTCTTAGATCACGATCCCGCTATATCTGATGGGCGCGTTCGTCAAAGGATAATAGACTGCAGAATTAAATGGCACATTAGTAAAAGACCGTACAGAACTAGAAGGTCAGCCGATGCAGCTCGCGAGGCTTTCTGCTTTACCGAAGTACCACAGACCTAACCTTTCGATATGGCCGATATTATAGTGAAATGCAATTTTACCCAGTCATGAGGTGGCTAGTCTAAAGACTTGAGGTGAGTCTCTTCAATGTAGCCCCAAACAACCAAGGAACACCGACGGAGTGTAAATATCATTGGGAAGAAGGTGTGTCGTCTTTCTTCATTAATGTTGCTATCATGGAGTTTATGAACATTTATCTATCAAACTCGTTAAGCAGAATTGCGCAATTAGTCAACTGGCTGCAGACTTGAAGAAAAACCGTTTCTTCGTGCGGACTTGAAAATTCAATCTGGGCTTGATAATGACCAATTTTCCTATTGACTGAGCGGCGTAGGCATGAATTCACCACCAGCGAACTTCTTAACGTGGCACCTAGACGAGAACAAAGTCTATTTTTTTATTACAGTCTAATTACTTGCACCAAGTATGTTGCTGCTATTGCAGCTCAGATCTAGTGAAGAGTATTCGGACGTTAACGCTTGCAATTTTTAATTACCGATTAATCATCGCTTGGTTGAGGTCTGCCAAAACTCATGCTTGTATCTCCAAGGAAAAAGCGAAATGCTACAAGTAAATTAGATCGCTGAATACATATTCCGCCCACTTGAAGATGTCCTTCTCGAAGATGGTGGCGGTAGAGATCGAAACCTAAATCAGAGAGGAAGCGCTCCATTATAAATGGTGGAAAACACCTCTGTAACCGCCTCCAGTTGCATCTGCAACGGGGACTCAGAGTGGAATTCAGACGCCATGAGGAATAATCAAAAATTCAGTAGCGGAATCGTTAAGGAATACGTTCAGCAGCAGCAGCAGAGTCCAAGAGATCTCGACGCTTTAGAGAAGGGGGATAGACAAAGGAAACAAAAACCCTCCTTCCATCGTTTCCGCAAGCGGCCTTGCGCAAAACTCCAGGGGGGCCAACGTGATAGATTCATTACTGTAACCGTTAACTTAATTCTAGCCTTAACATAACCAATGATGAGGTCTGTATGTTTAAAACATTCACGCCGAGCGACAAGGCGGCAAGCAGGTCTGGAGTCTGGACAGGGTATCGAATTCAGTCGCCGCAGCCGAGACATGCGGTGGGATGCAGTGCATAACCCATAATTCAGAATAATAAGCAGTTCATGGAGAGGTCCATAAGCGCAGCCGTTGTTCGTTGGTTGCCGTACCGCAGGGGTTTAAGTAAGTTAAACCCTAGCAACTGCGCTCTCCAGGCACGGTTCCTTGGGCCAAAAGGAGTCATAGGAGGCCAGAGTGGTAGGAACGGTTTATTCTGTACAGAAGTAATGGAGAATATGCGAGAGGAATTTGACTGGTAGACGAGGGAGCAAACGCCGGTTTCTATACCGCGTCTGAAGTGAGGTGACCGCGGGAATCGCCACAGCGTCTGGAACAGCCTTTGTTTGACTTGGACTCGAGAGGTGATTGGTCAGACGGATTAGCTCGACGGACGGGCGTAGGCGGCCACTGCATGTGCACTTGTTGG